GATGGGAAAAGATGCTTGACATGATTTCAATCTTCTGTAGCTTTCCTGAATGGAAGCTCTGTTGGCCATCAGAGTCAGGTGATCTGGGGACATGTTCCTTGGGTGGCATCCACAAAAGCTCGGGTACAGACATGTACACAAGCTCCTGCCAGGGAGATATCAGTGACTTGGGGTGGGCAGGAGTGAGAGAATTGGGGAAGTCTGTAAGCTTTCCTGATCTCCCAGGAGGATCTCAATCAGTCTCTAGGTGCATGCTAAATTTGAAGCCTACTCTCAGGCAGCAGCTTTTAAAATATGCAAATAGAAAACAATTAGAGAAAGACTAAGAGATGGGCTTTTCCGCCCTCTATCTCTGCTCTAAGTCCTGGTATAATAACTGCAGACAGTGCTGACTTGCCTTAATAACTGCTTTTTTTTTTGCTCTAGTCTTGTGGGTCTTATGGATGCAAGCTCCATTGGCTTTCAGAGATAGGGGATTTAGAGGGCTGTCCCTCTGGGAGTCTTAAAATTTGGGACATTATATGTGGGGTCCACACTGTTCATTCCTCAGGGAGAAGCTAGGAGCTAGTTGTTCCTTCCCAAATGTACGTCCCTGAGCTGGGAGTGAGAGTTATGGTGAAAATGTGTCTGACCCTTCTTTACCTGTATCAAGGTGGATATTTTCTCATTGCTCAATGTGTAAGAGTCACTTAGCTAGTTTCCTGATTTATTTAGAGTGAATTGTACCATGTGTAGCTCTTCATTTGGTGTGGCCATGGGAGAAGAGCAGTTTAGGAGCTTCCTGTGTCACAATATATAAAGACTGCCCCTTGACCCCAATAATATTGTATTTGGAAAATAATATTTGCCATCAGCCACTGGGGACATGTGAGAAGGATGTGATGTAGAGTGACTAAGGAGGGAAGGGGATGAGGAGGATTCAAGTAGACAGGCTGGAATATACAAAGGCTTTTGATGTAGTGCTTCCTTTTTGTGTAGAATACCAAGACAAAGACTCATTATAAGCCATCTGCCCAAGCTTCTATTTGAGTCATGATTCCCTAAAAAATATTCCCCATAATCTATTATTCAACCTCACAACTTTAAGAAGAGGAAGCCCAAAATTAATTGACTCATTCACTTCTCTTTTTCAAATTCCATTTAAAGGGATTAAAATTTCCTTCTCTTTAGTTCACACCCTCTAGATCTGATAAACCAGTCAATATGTAGATCCAATCAGTCCTTAAATGCTGTAATATATAGCAGTCACAAGAGAGGGAGATGAGTTAATCAGATTGTGTGTTTACTTCCTCTAAATTAGTGGCAATCCACTGACATCCCATTTTTCTTGAACAATATATTTCAAAAAATGTTTTCTACCATGCTGTTGCTCATAAGTAACATTTCCAAAAGAGTATCTGTTAACTGAGAAAAAATGGTACGAGTGAAATGCCTTAAAGTTTTTATTGAGAAAAAAAATTCTCTATGGGTTTTTTGAGCATGATTCTGTGTGAGAGCTCACAGTGTCCCACAAATGCCCCTTTAAAAACCAGAAAATCTTCATGGGCATTACTTTCATTTAGAAATGTTTTCTTACACAGGAATTTAAAAACAGTAGCTAGAAAATCTAAGACATTCGGTGACTTTTAACTTCTACAATTGTAACGGATAATTAAGCGAGTCCTTGAGTCTTACATGCTCCTTCAAATGTCTGGCCGTATCCATGTTGTCTCAACAAGCTAATCAGTGCTTTAATCGTCAGAAACTGGAGCAGAGACAGATGAAATAGTCAAATACTCAAGAATGTACACAGAAGAGTGTTGTTTACTTCTAGTGTAATTAATAAGTAGATTTCTATAGTCCATTACCTTAGTATCCACACCATTTATGTACTTTAATAAAAGTTATAAAATATATATAATCAAGCCACGTATCATTAATCCTCAGTTAATTTTGTATTATTGACATATAATTAGCAATCAAAAATGTTATCTGATGTTTCACTTTGTTATATATTTGTTTGTTTTGTCATTTTGTGTCCCAGACACCGTGCAGTGCTTTGTATAATAGGGATGAGATGCTCAATCCTTAAGCAAAGATTGCTTACAATCTCATATTAGAGACAATGATTTAATAAACAGGGTGATATTAAAACAATATTTTAAGGAGAGCATTGTCTGTAAACTACAAAATGGGACATTTAACCAGAGCTGAGAGAGGGGAGGAATGGAAGAGAATCTTCCTGGAGGAAGTGATGGTGGAGTTGATGGTTAGTAATTACAGCACAATGATGTAATTTATCAAGACACTTTACATTTCTCTTTACAACCTATCCGTGTTGGACTTCTTTAATACTAAAAAGTTATAGAACTGGCCACCTCAAGACCTCTGACCGTCAGACCCTCTGTCTAGAATCCTTTCCTTTCTCCAGCTTGCATTTTTTTAGATCTGAGACTGAGTTATCTCTATCCAGGGAAGCCTTTCTTCTGTACACTAGATTCTAAATTTTTTTCTAGATTTTTAACCCCCAGGTTTTTACTTCATGAAGCTTTTACTCTTATTATGAAATATTTGAGTACTTAGTTAATATATGTTTGTTTATTCCTCTAGATTTTAGGATTCCTTAGTATGGAAACTGCTGGATTCCTCATGAAATGCAAAGTATCCAAATACACAAAAAGCACTCTGTGAACACTAGATAAATCGTAGTATCCTTGAAATAATGTTCAAATGAAAGAATGAATGATAAAAATACGGTAAAATTAGAAAAGTCATGTTAGTTTTCACTATAAAGGAGTATCATAAATAAATTCAAGACCATAGTGAATGACAACAGGTTAGGGGGCTGCAGCCTTTTCTTATTTTGGGCTTCAGTACGGATACTCATTCATGTAAATATGAGAGAAAATTATGTTTCCCATCTATTGTATTATATAATTTTATGAAAATGACAATCACTAAATGTGTCTGTGTGTATAGGCGTAATATAAATATTTAAAACCATCCTTTACTTTTCAATTTTTCTAGGGCCTCTTTCACATCCTTGTTCCGTAGGCTATAAATCAGAGGGTTTAACATGGGAATCACAAGAGTGTAAAACAGTGAGGTCATTTTGTCTTGATCTAGGGAGTAGGAAGAACTCGGCCTGAAATACATGAAGAGAATAGTTCCCTGGAAAATGACCACAGCAGTTAAGTGGGACGTGCAGGTGGAGAAAGCTTTGAACCTGCCCTCAGCAGAGTGAATCTTTATCACTGCCAGGATGATATAACAATAAGAGACAAGAACTCCTGAAATGGCACTTAGTTCAATGAAGCCAAAAATAGTGAATATTGCTAACTCATTGACCTCTGTATCTGAGCATGAGAGCAATAGGAGAGGAGGGATATCACAGAAGAAATGGTTAATCTCATTTGACCCACAGAAACATAAGCGGAATGTTAATGTCATGTGTATCAAAGCATCTGCCATTCCCACCAGATAAACTCCAGCCATGAGCAGGAGGCACACTCTGCTGGACATGTTGACTCTGTAAAGCAAGGGGTTGCTAATGGCCTTGTACCGATCAAAGGCCATCACTGCCAGCAGTAGACACTCAGAATCTGCAAAGGTATAGGAGACGAAGAATTGCAGAGCACAGCCATAGAAGGGGATTGATTTGTTTTTGCCTAAAAGGTCCACCAGCATCTTGGGTCCAATTGCTGAGGAATAGCAGAGGTCACAGAGAGAGAGGTGGCTGAGGAAGAAGTACATTGCTGTGTGCAGCTGGGAATTCATTCTAATTAAAATGATCATCCCAAGATTTGCCAGAAGATTAGTGAGATAAATAACTAGAAGCATGGCAAATAGGGTCACTTTCATCCCAGGGTTATTAGTAATTCCCAAGAAAATGAATTCAGTCAAAGAGGAGCAGTTTTCTCTCTCCATTCTTCTTTGTTCTTGCCTAAATTTGTAAGAAAATAATCAAGAAAATGATAGTCATATTTTAACTCTTCTCGACATCTACAAAATATCTGTAAGGCAGAAAATGATTTCTTTCTGTAACAGTTTTTTAATGCTCAGAAAATTACTCAGTCACATACCCAGTCTTATGCTGTCTGTAAGACAATAATAAAAAATATCTGGTACAGGCAGTCGAGAAACTTTGATTTAAATCTAAATGTCATTACTGAGGTATATAACTTTCTAGAAGCTCTATTATTTCTCTGAGCGTTACCTTCCTTATCCCAAAGAAGAAATTTAGATGAATTTATATCTAATTGTGTATTCAAAATGATATGGTAGAAACGCTGATATTAGAGAGACCAGGTTGTAAGATGTGGGATTAAGCATTTTCTATGGTTGAAAATATTCATATGGACACAAAAAATATTACAATTGCTATGTTCCTCAAAAATCATAGTTGATTTGAAGACTTTGCATTAGTTTTAGAAACAATGAACATATCACACAATAGTAATAATAAAAATTACCATGTCACTGCTCCTGTTTGAAGTTGTCTTAAGTATTTGATGAGACATGAGATAAGTATTATAGATATTTTCTCTCGAAATGTTTATGGTTTGCCACAATACTCATTACCTATTTGTGAGAGTGGTCTGGTGCCAAGGAGAAGGTTTTGACCAAAGAAAAGTGCTAAAAAAAAAGAAAGTGAAAACAGTAGAATTTAAGACATACATTTGCATCTCTTTGGATTTTAAATGGACTTTTATATTAAAAAACAGAGATGAGCCGAGGGACAATAAATGCTCCTGAGATATACAGGCTTCTCTCCTTGTTTACGTGTGTTCCTATGTGTCATATGTTTGCATGTATATACGACTCTGTTGATATATGAGAACAGAATGTCAGTATTGGATGTATTTTGGGGACTTCAGTAAATATGGCACGTGGTTCAGATCAAGCTGAGTTTGCTCGTGTTGCTATTTGTCACGTGGTACCTAAATTATTTTTGAAATAAAACAAAAAAACTTAAAGTCATGTATGTACCTCCCCAATGATAAACAAAGAAAATACTTTCTTGTGAACCTACATTAAAATAAAATAATTAAAACCATTATTTTATGGATACTATTAAGTTCAGATGAATTCTTCCAGTTCTAAGAAGAAAATATTATTTTTTGGACATTAGATTGCTGAGTTTATTAAACTGAGTAAGCAGGCATAAATGGTTTGGTTTACAAATCTCTCATGTTTTAACGTAATGTTTTCTTGTATATGCGTAAATTTAGAGACTCAGAAACCTACCTGAGATGAGCAGGTCTTTCTGTACTTGCTACTGGTTGCTGAGAATAGGCAGATGGCACTTTATTTTCCCTGGTAGCATTTGGGACTTAAATCTCTGAGGTTTCCACCCTCAGGCTTCAGTGTGTGCTAACGTGATTAACTACATTTTCTGTGCTCTATTTTCCCCTGTGAGTACAGCAACTGCTTTACCAAAACCTGAGCTTTATTTCTTCACTATTGTCAACATATCGATGTGACAGGAAGAAAATTGCAAATTATTTTATGTTAAGCTTCACGTTTACACTGAATCCATACACTCTGTCTCTAGTCAAAGCAGAAATCCAATAAAATACAAAAAAGTAATGTTCATCTCTTTTCTAGTATTCATTTTATTTCTTCCATTTTTGAAACATTCACCCTCACCACTTCATTTAGGAATATTGCTGTTCTTCTATGGTACTATTTTTATTGAGATACAATTTTATAAGCTATAAAATTTACCCTTTCAAAGTGTACACTTTTTGGTTTTCTGTATATTCACAAGGTTGTGCAGCCATCACCACTATCTAATTCCAAAACTTTTTCATCACCCCAATAAGTAACTCATACCCATTAGCAGTCACTTCCTCTTCTCGCCTCCCCTCAACCCCTGGCAACCACTGATCTACTTTCTGACTATATACGATGCTTATACTGGATATCTCATATAAACAGCATCATACAATAGGTGGGTTTTCTTTGTGTTTGGTTTCTTTCATTTAGTATATTTTAAAGGTTCATCCATGTTTTCACATATGTCAGAATTTTCTTTTTTATGCCTGAATAAAATTTCATTTTATGAATATAACACTTTTTGTTTACCCTTTCATCAATTAATGTACATTTGGGTTGTTTCTACTATTTCCATATTACAAATCATGTTGTTTAAACATTGATGTCAACAGAAGCTATATAGGTCAGTTTCTTGAAAACCATTGTCTTGGGGCCGGCCTGGTGGCGCAAGCGGTTGGGTGAGCGTGCTCCGCTGTGGCGGCCTGGGGTTCGCCAGTTCTGATCCCTGGCGTGCACCGACACACGGCTTGGCAAGCCATGTTGTGGCAGCATCCCATATAAAGTGGAGGAAGA